ATTGATAATTCAATGAATAGCTTCTCCGTTATTAAATATATTTTTTAGATAACTGAGTACTGAGAGGAGGATTAAAATCAAAGAGGACTAAAATCATCGCTCTGATAGACTAATTAACGTATCGAAATGTTGCGCACTTGCCAAAAGCATTTACTCCCCAGATTTTGGTTTGATTAACACATTATATTTGGCTGTTTGGCCAATCACGCGACCCAGTGAACATCGAGCGACTCTGGTCTGCGAGGTGTAATAATCTGAAGGCGGGAGAACCCTAATGATCCGATAGCCATGCGTGATAGACAGTCGCTAGATCATACAACTTCACCTTTGATTATGGGCATCCTTTAATCGTAATGGATGACTTCGTTAGCGGCGTGCCAAAGTGCATCGCAAATGAGTCTCAGAATTTTGGATCGAATTCCTTAGCGAGTCGCCAAAGACCTTTGCAAATGAGTCCTACAGTTGTGGATCGAATTCGTTGCAGGAATTCAATGTTTCGAATTGTTGCAAAGAACCAAAGCAAATTTTAAAAAACGAAAAATAAAGTAGGGTGTTGCACACAGATCCAACATTTTCGGTTGTTATGCTTTGTTCACTTATCAGTGTTATATGTTATGTTTATTAATAATTTGGTATATGGTTATTGCGGCGGGTGGACAGTGGAAATAAAGTTATTTCGAAAATGGAGGCAAATAAGGCATCGAACATATTTTTCTATTGCGGAAGTGTATTTTTGTTAACATGGAGATGTATGTATCCGGGATATTTTAAGTAATGATGTTAAAAAGGTAGCGCATGGAGAGTGAGAGCGTAGGTATACATTTTATTTGAGAGAAGAACTTTCAGCTTGCGCAAGTGCGTCGGAAACGTAGGTTTTCGGCGGCCTTGTAAGCCATAAACCTCGATAGGGTCGCAAAATGCGCCCGGTTATGCAGGTAAACGAGCACGGGTCAGGCTACCCCACGCAAACATGAAAGTTCGCGTTTTTAGAAATTTTGCCAAAAAGGAGAGGGTATATGAGAGAGGGGATAAGTCCGAGGTATTTGCCGCGTTGAACGAGACGAGGCCCCAGTCGCGCCGAGCTCTTCAAGCGCTTACCTCATACGGTTTAATTAGTTCATAACATAAACGATATACGAAACCAAATTTTGCCTTTTCTTTCTCATTCGAAAACTTCCTTTCGTTCTTGTGACTTACATAGGGTATAACGAAGAAAGGTTGAACAAAACAAAGTTGAAATAAACGGAGCATTGAATAAGATTAAACTAATTTTTCATATCGTTTCTGTTGACTTCACATTCCGAGGGTGAAAACTACCCTGGGGCACTGTGAGTATTGTCTAAGAGACGTCGACTCGTTTACGAGCCACATCCCTTAGAAGTCTTCATGCACTTTCAAGAATTGGTAAAAATAATCTCTTCTATACAGAATTTTCGCGTCTGTTAGACAGAATTCTACATTCACCAGAATTTCTCGAAAACTAGTCCACATAGAAAATAATGTTACACGTGAGAAAAAAGACTTTGCTTTCCATCAAAACATATTACATAAGCAAAAGTTTCACCAAGTCATCAATGGCGCCACTGCAACCAAACGGATCTCTTTTTTCTAACACAATCCTTGATTAATGCATTTAATTCGCGATCATTTCAGAGGGGTCTCGAAACACTATCCTTGCTTGACACTTATCCTTGGTTCGATTTTCGATCGTTACAGAGCCGCGATAAAATGTAGTCCTCATAAAATAGTGGCGCAAGCTCAACGAGTTTCCCATCGACGATCGAGTTTGGCGCCAAGCAAAAAACGCGTTAATTGGCTAGCCAGTTAATTAACAAGCGACGACCGGTACCCGCGACACCCGCGCCGACTTACAATCTGCGATAGAGCAAACACGTAAAGCCAACCGATGAAAATATTCAAAGCTGGTTGCGTTAATTATGGAGGATGAGACGACATTTCTGCGGGAACGAGGCGCGAGGGGACACGCGTCAATTCGATTAACGACATAATAGATCAAAGTATACCGAGGTACGGGAGGTTTTCTACACAATGCAAGAAATAATGACCATCCACGTAACGATTTATCGCGCGTCGAGCTGCAATGTTAGTGGCATACTGGCGCCGCACTGTCGTCTAACGAGTTGTGCAACAAATTGTGGGGAAAATTTCACTACATAATTACATTTTTTTTTTTTCGTTGATTTGTACAGACATTTACAGGAAACATTAAGGATTAAATAGGTTTTAAGGAGACCTAAAGGATACTCTTCATTTTGGGTTGAGATGAGTTATATAAACGTAACGAGTGTTAGGATAAAATAACACATTCTTCGATGAATGGCTATTATCCTAGAATTCGTTAATATTCGTTGGTAGATCCAGTGCACGAAAACCATTCATCTTAGTTATTCTTCCAATATTAAGAGAAACATTTGATGCTTGCAAACGTCAAGTTCAAAGATAAACTTGGAGATGATAACTTTAATGCAGAGCATTAAATAAATCCTGACGAACTTCTAAATATGGAGCTCCACTTGATTAGCATAAGGATTTTTGAATACCCCTTGGTAAATTCTGTGGACGAAAAACATCCATCCTGGTTATTGTATTCCATCAATATTGAGTGAAACATTTGATGCAAGACTTTGCTTGCAATCTTTAATTTCGAAGATAAACTTGAAGAGGACAACTGCAGAGCATTAAATAAATCCTGAGGAACTTTTAAATATGGGGCCCCACTTGATTAGGACTGCGTTATGTTCTCCAGGGGATGATAATTATCCAAGAATATTTTAATACTCCTTGCTAAATTCTGTGGACGAAAAACATCCATCCTGGTTATTGTATTCCATCAATATTGAGCGAAACGTTTGATGCAAAACTTTGCTTGCAATCTTTAAGTTTGAAGATAAACTTGAACAGGACAACTGCATTAAATAAATTGTGAGGTTCTTCTAAATAAGGGGCCCCATTCGAGTGTCTCCAAACGAGCGCATCACCTTCTCTCCAGAGTGATAAATATTTGATAATTATTCAATTATTTAAGAATTTGTCAACACACTTCTCGCTAGGACCAGTGCACGAAAAACATCCATCTTAATTATTGTATTCTATGAACATTAAGTGAAACATTTGATGCAAACCTTCTCTTGCGAACCCCAAGTTCAAAGACAAACTTGAAGATGACAACCGCATAACATTAAATGAATGCAGAGGTTCTTCTAAATACAGGACCCTCTGCCCTGGACAAGTGCTTCACCTTCTCCAAAGGATGATAGTCGTCCTCTGGCAGAGAGTAACACGTATCGGCGCATCAAAGAACGAAATTGAACATACAAATAGATAAAGTGGCACTCAAAGCCCCCCATTCTGCGTTTGCACGGGGAACAGCCGCGCACAATGGAGCCTGAAAAGCCTCGTCGTGCCTTTCTCGTGCCGACTCTTGTATACCTCACCGGGGAGTTACTAATCCGACGATGTCGTTGATCCACCCCGATAAATGATGAGCGACACCCAGGAGACACGGTCCTACCCCAACTGGAGTTTATGACCTTTCTATATTCCTGCATCGACACACGCTCGCGTAATCCTCAAAAGGTGGAGGGATTACACGTGACGCGTAGGCTCGTTCTGATTCAAGATAAAATTGTCAGTCTGTGCGTACGATGTACGTATTTAGGGTAGAGTTGGTACAGGAACTAGTTGTAGTGGTTGACATGGCTCGGCTTGGTTTATTAAAGTGTGCAACTGATTTGAATTTCAATTTTTACACTGCATTCGTACGTCAGTCTCTACATATGAGGCCATGAGAACTAGAGAAGCCTATCTACAAAATTATGGTACTGAGATATAAAAAGAAATTGGACTTATTTGCTAAAAATTTGTTACATTTCTATGTTGTCATCTGTTGATGATTGAAGAAATTACGTCTCTTTGGTTTTATGAAACATTCTATGCGTTTTTGGGCATAACTCAATTTAAAAAAAAAAAAAAATGTTACTTAGGCCACTCTGGTTCTCAAGGCCTCATATAATTATTTTCATTCATCTTAATATTACTTTAGGGACTTGCTGACACTCGTATAGCTCAGGTACCTCGAGATCGTTAAACTTCTACTGTAGCTACAATCAAACATAGTTATAGCCCCTGAGGGGTGCAGTAGTTGATGGTACTTAGCTTCTTATTTTTGTGCAATTTTAGATAAATCTGAATTGAACTTCTTCACTTCTTGATCGTGTAAAGCTTTGTGTATCTCAAGTTTAAGAAGATTAGAAATAGTACTTTGTTGGATGTGTAGTATGTATTCAGGATAGAGTTAATATAGGAACAAGTTGTAGTGGTTGATACTTATGGCGCTTACTACTACACTTTCTTATTTTTCTGCAATTTTAGATACATCTGCATCGAACCTCTTCACTTCTTGATCGTGTAAAGTTGTGTGTATCTCAAGTGTAAGAAAATTAGAAATAGTACTTTGTTGGATGTATAACATGATAGTATTCTACATACATTTTGTCGATTAGGTGTTCGTTTTATTTAGATATCGAACACGAGAATTTCATTCCAAACATAACTACATCATTTTCAAAAACACCCTACATATGTTTCAAAACTTTTTCAAAGATGCATTCAGTAGCTTATCCTCCATCTCTATCGACTTAACAAACTCGAAAAAGCACCCAAAAGTACACAAAAACCTGTGTACAACTATGGCAAAACCTACTGGGTGAAACGCGTAACAGGAGCAGCGACGACGAGCAGAGGGTGTCAAATGATTAATAAGACACCGTGCACGCGACAGAAGCGTGCGTGGTTCAGACTCGATTGCAAATTCGATCATGTCTCTCGACTCGATTCTGTGACTCAGGGCCTCGACCAATCTGATTATGATCGGTTTACATGAGGGGGGACCACGAAACGCTGGGATGGGATTTCTTCTTCGACGGGGATGCGCGCGAACAAAATTTAAGCGGACGTAACGAGATTATCTTTGATTCTAGGCTGCATTCAGGGGTGCAGGAACAACGGGGGCTAATTTACGGACGGAATTGGGTGACGGGATCGAGGAACCGGGACTTGTACGCGGAAGATCGATGTTAGGGGATGTAACGTGAACCAGGAACGGGAAGATCGTTTCGGAGGTAAATTGGACTTCGCATTTGCCTCTTATTGCATGTAGTAACTCCCATGTCAGGGAGAAATGGAAATTAATCTCAGGAATTAGGTTTTTTTAGATATCTTTTTATGTAGGTTGTTCTTGAAGGGATAGTTTTTTTTCTTGACTAGTCGTGAGACAATCTTCATGCTTTTTTTTTAGTCAAAGTACTTGACATAATTGAGATGTGGTACATTTATTTGTATTATGTATACTATGGAGCTTCTTAGTGTAATACAAAAAAATTCTTTCCAAATTTGATAAACATTAACATGTGCTCCTTCGAAAGTTTTAAATGGAAAATACATGCAATTCTTTCGATCAGTTACTTCTCTCTTTATAACTCCGGTAAAAATTGATGAAATGATTTGAAATTTGCCAGAGTTGTTACTTACAATAATAGAAACAAGCCCTAAAAATTTCGAATTTTGATCTGAATTATTTCCTAATGTACCACCACAGTAAATACGAAGCTACTTTTTCTACATCAAATATTTTTGTAATATCATTTTAAACGTTTTAAATATAAATGTAGGAGGTATTCGAACAGGGTTCGAACACTACATAAATCGTCATTGGAAGAAAAGTTTTGATATACTAAATTTTTCGGTTACCTGAAAAAGAATATTTGTTTGACGAACTTTTATCAAAAATAATAAACAACTTCATATTTAACGGCAATGCCATAATGAAGCTACAGATGTAGTTTAATTCACGGATGAGGGAAGCTTTTAGCAATTGTTTTCTTTGTCCTCTGTCGCAATGTTTTCCGTCTATACCAAAAGACGTTTATCCCGTCGAAAGAAATGAATGAAAACGAACCAAGAAAACGTGACTCTTACAATTGTCTCCGTAAACCACTTAGTTAAGATGCAGGGAGTTTCCTCGCGAAGAAGCTAAATTTCATCTGGCAACTGAACTTCGTGAAGTCTTAAACAAGCAAATTGTACTCCCTAATTTCTTAGTCGGTCCTCGAGGAATTAAATTCACGCGACAAAATGAGAAGCTGAAGTGGGGAGCAAGTAAAACCAAGAGATGAAATAGAGGAAAGCCACGAATGTAGAACAATACTGCTGGCTGCACATAATTTATCCACTCGTTAAGGGAGCGAATTATGTGTTTACAAATTGCATTGTAATATGCATTCGCTGCAGTCGCATAAGTACTAAAATAAATACGAAGAAAGTACTTTAAGTTTCTTTTTTCTATCTTATTACTTACTTTCTGTTCCGTTTTTAAATTTAATAAAACGACTAATTTAAACATTCTCAGGTAACTTAAATGCACGAAAATTAATAAAACTATTAATTTAAAAAATTCTCAAGTTACTTAAATCGACAAGTTTTTCTGATTGATAACAACAAGATTTAAAAATTCTTTTGTTATCGAGAAAGAAAATTGTAAAGATTCTTTTTGGAATCCGTTTAGCAACGACGAGAAGTCCGATTTCCTCGACGATTTAAGGAGGAATCGATACGATAAACTTCTCCTTGTCCCAACGTTTTCTCTTTCAAGGAGATAATACTTTGGCGATCCGTTTTACAGAATCTCTTAAACCGATAGGTTGGAAGTGGATTATTGCGATAAAATCGGACCCAAAGGGAACTGACGGATAACAAGAGTGGAATGAAATAGATCAGAAGAGGTCGAGTAACAATTTTATTTTCCATTGTGCAAAAATGGTAACTGGTCGAGGGATAAAACGGGATAACTTTGTGCTCAAAGAAGCACCCGAAACGAAGATTTTATTGAAACAAAAAATGGAAAGGGATAACAATGGATTATTGTTGGTTATAACGACCCATCCTTCACATGAAATGAAGCCTATTTAGTTGTGACAGGGCTGGAGATTTTATATTTTCGTTGTAATAATTCATAGTTTGACCAGAATAGTAGGCTCTATATGGGATATACAAGATCGATATCTTTTACTTCACTGAAATAGTGAAATTCTTAATCACTTCAACGATAAATATTTATATAATCTAAACTCAAATTAAAAAAATGAATCTTGCACGTATATTTGTTATTACTAGACTGCGGATCTTTATGCATTTATAGGAAATTTGAACGTGCAAGAGACTACAAAATGCAATCAATATGCAAGAATATAAAAAAGATTGAAAGTAAGATTCATGTTATAATATTTTCAGAAAATAAAATCAATATAATATTTTCAGAAAATAAAATAAATTCCTATTTAGGTTCAATTTTTGTAGGCACATTCGCAAAGATATAATTTCGCATAAAGATCCGCAGTCTAGTTATTACAATGTAAGATCAATACTTTGCAGGCTTAAGAAAATATTTCTTTCAAGCTACTGTATCAATTATCATTTTACAAATCAACAAACATTCAACGTACAATTTTATATTACAATAGTATACATTACAAATATGGCAGCTAAACTAAATTATTTTCCTGTAGCATATTATCAATTTTTTTACATTGATATTTTGAAGGAACTTAAATTTCTATGCTCACTACTGTACACGAAGTAACCAAGGACGAACCATGAAGGAATTCCTAGCAAAGGAATACTTCGAGTCGCTATGTAATACTACGTATATTTTGTATATGCACGTATATTCTGGTATCCCTAAGTAAGTCAACCAATTAGGTCAATCTGGCCATCGGCGAATTTCTCTCTATCTCTATCTCTCTTCCTCAATCCTACAACCGTAATGGCCGCCAGCCTACAATAGGATAGTGCATTGCAGTAAGGTGAACCCCACTGTTAGCCCATTCGGATAACGCCACTTATTTACGTCCAGTTACTGGGTGGCTTAATTAACAATTTCCACGCGTGAAGATGGCGAGTTGATTACCGGATACGCACGACACGAAGGGGTTGCGGTGTCCGAAAGATGAAAATGACCACGGGGCATAATAATGCGGCTTGGTTTCGTGAATTGAAGCCGCACGCAATTCCACTATCATGACCTTTCAGGGTATGAATTGAATATGGTGTTATACTAGCGACAAAAGTAGGGAGGATGGGGTAGTTTATGCCTTAATTGTGTCGATGTTGGATAGAACGATGATGACGTGGACAAAATTAGCCAGTACATTCAACTTGAACAATAATTACGTTATGATTATATTAGAATTGCATTGGAATTATTAATTGAGTTTAATCAATGGATATACTAGAATTATATCATATCATAGCTATATAGATTTATATTAGAATTACATTAGAATTATTAATTGAGTTGGATATAATGGACGTACCGAACCATTTCTATAATTAATTAAAATTTTTATTTAAAAGCACAACCATAATAAGCATTTGGTAATCATCAAGGTCTTTCTGGCTGATCCTGTACTTTTGTTGCATTATCATTTATAGTATCAATTGAATGTGCAGGTACACAGTTTGATAAAGAAATCAGACTCTATATAGAATATACAAAATTGATATTTTTTTAGCTTACTCAGATAATTAAATTCTCTTCACATTCCAATCACAGAATAACGGTTGACAATTTTATTATATAATAATCATTGATTGTGACGAACAAGTGACGTTCAACTCGCCTCATGTATGGACAAACTTCAAAATAAATGCACGTACAATCACCAAAACTAATCTACATCTCAACAACTACATCTACAACAAATAAAATCTAACATAATTATTACGAGCTCCAAGAAACCATCGAACAAACAAACCCTCCAAAATAAACATAGGACTACTAGAATGTAGATCCTACGAATCTACAGGTCTTCCCAATATTTTACTCTGTGGCCTTACACATTACAATTCCAATCAAATTACACAAGGAAACATTTTTAGGCTCCTCAACACCTCCCAAAAATTTTCCAAATCACAAAATTTCTCACCAGATTCTCTAATAAACTCGAAGAATGTGAAGCCTACGAATCTAGCATGGATCTAAGATCCCAGTCACGAAAACAAATACAATCTAACATATCCAATACAAAGCTCTAGGAAACCATCGAACTCACAAACCCTCCACAATCAAAATAGAACTGCTAGAATATAAATCCTACGAATTTGCCACGGATCTATCCTTCTATCTATCTATTTAATCTATCTATCTACCTATTTAATCCATTATACTCTATTATAATCTATTATATATAATCTATTTAATCTACGAGATCCTTCTCATTTTTAACTCTGTCCCCTTACGCGCTACTCGTCTAACGCTACAAGTCTACTACAAGCTTAACCAAATTACAATCTATCCAATTTACCTTATCTCGCAAAGAAACATCTTCATTCCCTTCAACCCCTTCCCAAAGAAACCCTCGAACAACGATACTCCGCCGAAATTCGCTAACAAACCGTCCCCGAAAAATTCCACGCTCCAGAAATGCCAACAACCGAACACTTCCTCTGCGAGACGGTGCAACACAATGTGCGGCATTACGCGATACGGAAAGGGGCGCCCATTAGAGGGGTCGCGGTACCCGAAAGATGAGAGCTACCGTGCGACATAATGGTGGTTGGTTTCGTGAATTAAAGCAGCACGCGATTCCACTATCGCGTTCTTTCCCGGGTATGAATCGAATAGTACTATAGTAGTGAGCGCGTAGTAGGGGGGTCGGTCGGGGGTGGCGGCGCGGTACGAGGCACCGGGAGCGAAAAACGGGGGTGGATGGATGGCCTGGCACGCAGGAGCGGTGAAGGGAGGAGGGTGGCGTCGGTCGATACCAGCGTCGCGGCGCTAACCGTGAAAGGCGTAGTGCCCCGATGGTCTGGAGAGAGAAAGGGGATTGATACGAAGTCGTGGAGCGAAAGGGATGAAGCGTCGAACGGGAGGAGAGAGACAGGTGCTGGCGTCGAGGGACAGGTGGACAGAGAAAGGAGAAGGAACGAGGTGAAACGCAGAGGGGCGGGAAGGCGGGGGGAGGGGGCGAGCGAGAGGGGTAGGATAAGAGAAACAGAGGAGATAGAAAGACGGTCACCATGGAAACGCGGAAGGAGGCTCTCTGCCTCCTGCGCAAAGCAGGAC